CAAATTAATTTGTTTCGAACCATAAGAAATCCAAGGCTAATGCACAAGAAGCACACTATGCCCCACCTGTTCACTATGCCCCTCCTTCCCCTACTGCGTATAATTGCATATCATTCACATCTGCTTGATTTCCTTTTCATATGGAACTGTTATTCGATTATGGATAGTATATATTACCCCATTCATGTAAAAATTAACTTATACAACTTGAACCAAGATTATTCAGCTATTAAACAGGTGTAATATAATAGAATAAGTGTAGCCAAGAGTAATATCCCAGGTACAATTTCCACTTTTATTGCTGTTTTAAAGAATTCTACAAATCTAAATCAGGGGCTTTGTACTTATAGAACCCAAATTGTTACTTGGGATGTTCCGTTACGAGCGGAAAGCTTTCAATTCCTTTCAACCAAAACATACTAGTAGTCAAAGAAGATAGCTAAAAACAACAGATTCATTCATAAGCACTTGCACCAAAACACATGTAAACGATTGCAGATAGCACGAACCTATTAAAATTTCATAATTCAATTCTCGCAATCCCAGTGAACCCTACTAGTCAGTGCATAACCATCTGTCTCTACTCAAGACGACAATCGCACGACTATGTCGTCTCTTGATTCAATTAAATTTTTAACACATTCGATTACTGATGTTCCAGACAGTCTGTGTCTCCTGCGCACGCAGCGCAGTCATCACTTTTAATGATCTCCGGAATACTGTCACATACTCTCGTTGCCATACGGTGCTGCCGGTGCACGTATATTATATATATATATAGTCCGGGAAGTGGCAGACGTGTTTGTTCATCAATCAATCGCCACCATATTGCATCCTGGACTGTGTGAATAGATAGGGTCGAGCAAAAAAAAAAACTGAATCCAGAGTGCGTCCGGAGGGCAGACACGCGATTCATCTTTCAAGCGGCTGGCATTGATGATCTTTCTTTATTCGAAGAAATCTAACGCCTCTCAACTACCATAGCCACCATCCAGCCATTAAGTACTGTGAAACGTATGAAAGTGAAAAGCAGAATTCTCGGTCGACAGCAACTCCAGAAGTGCTGGTTTTAATGGATTTGATTACGACCTGATGCGTCTGGCGCGAGTCAATTCTTTTAATTTTATTGATCTTAAGTCTTCAGTGGGATGCTATTAGTTTATGGTGTAATAGAAAATGATTTGAAGAGCATTCAGTAATGAGTCATGGATGCAGTTTTATGAGCAATTTATATGCAGAAAATATGATTTGTGGCAATCGTGTGCGGCACACTATGGAAAAGGAAGTATTAAGCCTTTGGCGCATAGAAACTAATTTGGTAACACATCCACATGACCAAATCGGTAAGGTCGTGCCGTGCGGTGCGGTGCGAAGAGACACACCTTCGAACTGAAGCATAAAAACACCTTAGCAAACATTGTTCACAGCTCTCGCTGTGCCATAAATTCCGCTTTTCTAAAACAAAAGCTCGCGCATGCATAATCCGCTGAAGCGCACTCACATGTCATTACGTTATCTAAATATTTCCTCTCAAAGTGACCGGCCTCGTATAGGTGTAGCTTAAGCAGCCCACTACATACTGAAAGTGAGAGTGCTGTTGTTATTACTATGCATTTTCGTGTCATACATTAAAGGCGTACAGTTTGGAAGCTGAACGGGCCTTCTTCGGTCGTGCGATCCGCTCCCTATCTTCATCGTGTGCTACATCAGAGGGCCGGCCGGAGGGACCAACAAGAATGTACGACGCCTGCAAAAGTACAAATGTGTGCAGTGCACACCTTCTCCTCCTGGTCCTGCTGTAGAAGGTAATGGGTACAAAACAAAGCGGGCAGTTGACAACATATCCCGCGTTGTGGGGCGTGCAATTCTTGTGCCAAGTAGACTCACGCACTTTGTTTACATAATATAGTGCAGTTGTTGGTAGCGTGCATTTGGATAATGAGCAGCTCTGGGTTGTCGATTTTGGGAATACACACGTGTCTCATTACCGACTGGCAAAACGGACATGTCAAGTGATTGTCTACCGGGTTCGTGCAGTGCGATCACATTTGAACGGACTGCAAGCAATCGATGGAAAACTGTTCTACTTGTTATTGTTTTAGTAATATATTAATTTAATTCAATCAAACCATCCACAGTTTATCTACACGAAAAACAAAAATTGCATGAACGTCAATTGTAGGTGTGTATTTATTACATACTCTGTATATGTTCTTTAGGAGAAATGTAATGACAGGACTTACTCACGGGCGTTGCCGAGTTTCGAATGCGGGTGGGGGGGGTCATTGTTTTTTTAATTGAGAATTAGGCCAGATGCCACAGGTTGAATTCCATAAGGTCCAATGTGATTAGTTCGAAGGGGTCACTAGGTCAAATGATGCTTTTTCCAGGTAACGGATTGTGCCTGTTCCGGTTTCCGAATTTAGCCAATTTGGCTTAAACTGGTTTTCAGTTTTGAAATTGATCGAAGGAAACCCTTGATGGTCTCTTTTAAGGTATTTCAGGATTTTGTCCAGGCTTTGCTAGGAGTCGCCCCACTCAGTAGTGGTTTATGGTGTCAAATGCCTTCCCGAACAGGCACAACATACTAATGTTGAAAGAAATTCCATGATTTGTCAAGTTTCTTTTATGTGATTTTCTACCAACGATTACACAAAACTGAACCAACGAAATACTATTTTTTAACGAAACGCACAAATTTTGACTACGCTCTCGTTACTTTTCTTATTTTGAAGTTCGAGTGGTAGTAAACATGATTTTAACTGATCGAACGAGGTGGTTAATTCAAAGCGACTTTGTGTTCGAATCCGAAGGTTTCTTGGTTAATGCTGCTTTCAGTCCGAAAACGTTTAGACGTCTTTCAGGGTCCAGGGAACATCCGGCGCAAGTTAGCACGTCATAAGAATATGTTAAAGAATCCATTTGAATGTGCCCTGAATGGCCTTGCTCTGAAATATATATGCACATATTTGCCCTGAAAGTATGCTTCAGTAAACTGGGAAATGATGAACTGGACTTATGATATGATGATATGGAACTAACGCTCACTGTAGAAAGACAACTGTCGGTCGACTCTGGACTATCCTCGCTGTTCGACTTGATCAAGTTTAATAACCTCTAATAGTACTCAACCTGCCATTGTATGAAGCGCCAAAAACGGTTTGGGTGAATCCGTAGGCAACATCGCCGGGATAAATGAGAATCTCCTTCCAACAACAGGATCATACCCAAACCAGGCCATCCAACAGGAGGATGTCCCAGTGAGTGGGAATAAGAGCCCGACCTCTTCTGACGAAATGTTAAAGATAGGGAGTTGGCATTTCCACTCTCCCTATCTATTTCGCTTCAATGTGGTGCCCTGGTGAACCCTCCCGTACCCAGCATATAATGTTTCATATAATAATAGAATGAAAGTTAAGAGAAAAATAAACGAAAGATCTGACCCGATATGTTGATCGCGATGATTTCGAAGAGCCATAGATATGCTGCCGCTACTTCTTCATCCGGTGTTAACAACTCTCGCCTTTCATTCCAGACACAGCAGCTTAAACCGTTAAACGTTAAAGCTCAAGGTTGCGATTAAGATTTGCGGGTTAATTTTAAATTTAGTCTGGAAAAATGTATGGGAAATGGAACAAAAGATTGATTAATAAAAGCTCAATGCTAATAGATTTTTTCGCAGAATTCAAATCGATTAGCAGTCTTGGAAAAATTTGTTCTACATAGTTATAATATGTCTGGTATGGACAAAAATGAGCAATATGCGAATTTTTTACAAGCAAACGAATATGTTTTGACGTTTCCCATCAATTTTTCCATATGAACATTAACTGCAGTTTAACGCTGGAAGTCTCTTTAATAAAGGAAAAAAATATCTTAATTGCTAATCCAACTGGAAACCAAAAACGTTTGAATTTGACACGTTCAACGTACATCGAAAAAGCAGTGGGAACAAGGGTTTGTAATCCGCTATGCAAACTTTAACCACCCTAATGAGCATGCATGCAACTAATAATTAAAAAAATCTAAATAATCAAAGAATTCATTTGAGACGACCCCCACGTAGTGGTTAGCATCCATACCCTTCACGTCAAAGACACGAGTTCAAATCTCATCCCGATTAAGTCGCGAATAACCCAAGGCTGTAACTATTTCTAACAGAAGCAAAGCATCACGCTTGAATCAAACAATGTATCATGACACAACGATGTCAACTGTTCGCACAATCTTGTGCTCCAGCCTACCAATAATATCAGACTTGACACAACAAACAGACAACTGTACAAACAAACTAGCAATTATTGATGTCATGTCGAATAGTGAGTAGCGTATGATATTCCAAAAGAGCAATCCTATCTATTTGTTTACTATGCTATAGTTACAACAATAATACAAGTGGAGGCGCATGGTCATCGTTCACACGCGGTATCTCTCTAGTAGGCATTTGATGCGCCCTGGTCAGTTTACCACGAATGCAACGCATCGATTTCGCTGATTTTTATCTACATATGCCACTTTATAGGAATCGATGTCAAGTGGCCAAGATCACAGAGCGTGGAGTGTGTTATGCGTGCATAAGTGCCTGATGTTTTTTTGAACACATTGCCGCCTGTGGAGCAAAGCGTGGTGAGAAATATTCTAAGAAGTGTGAATGAATCTGATTGCATCCTGCTCGTCTCCCAATGATTTATTTATGTTCTATTGACTTGCGACCGAACAAGCACGAGTGCAAGCTCGATATCACTGTTGTCTGTTGTAGATCACGCTTTTCGATTAGAGCTTAACGATTCGGTGCAGTAGCCAGGAGATTCTTGAACATTAACAATCTTATCAAATCCCTAGCTACGGACCTGAAGTTGATCTACAAAATACGAATCAGACTTGTTAAAAATATATCATTCACGCGCCCATTCATGTATGGCACCGAGTCTAGCTGTCTGAGATGTTTGTTTTGCCCTGACTAATAATATTTTTGTTTTCACTCTCCCTCTTTGGCACAGATTTCTGTCGAACGAACACGATTCGCAAGAAGGAGGTTTCACCAGATTTCCTCAGTCGTCACCATGACGAACGACAGCAAAGGCAGTACCGCCGGAAAGGCCGGAAAAATGGATTCCCGCATCGGTCTGGAGTACATCGTTGAAAACAGCGACTACGTCAACAAGCTGGGCCTTGCCTTGGACACCAACAACGCCACGGTGAAGAAGCAAGTGTTCGAGCTCCTATCGGCTCTGTGTGCCTACAGCTCCAACGGGTACAAGCGGGCGATTGAAACACTGGAACACTACAAGGTATGGCAACAATTCGCAACCGATCAAATTTCCCCATCAGCACTCCAGCAACCGACCTTGACTTGAAAATACCACCGGTCTCAATTACCGGTGATTTGTGCCTAATCAACCCATTAATTTCAATCTCTTTCCCTCCTCGCTTTCATGCAAATCTCCTCCGATCTTTGGACACCGAACGCCCGGTGCAAAATTTCGTACCCAAACCAACCCAACCCGAAACACGGAACGGAACGACGGGGAGCAGACTATCAAAGGCGAGCGCTATCGACTTAATATAGTTGTCGTGGAGCTAGACAAAACAACCTCGGCCGAGTATCAAATTGCGTTATTAGCGTTTATAAATTGTGTTATAATATCGGCAGCCACGCTGCAGGATCGGATACGAATGCGAAATGAATTTATAGGTGAGTATTTGATTTATTTGCAGTCCGAAGGGGGCACGGGGTCTTTGCGGACAAAATACCTAACTGTGAAATGGCATGACTGACCGAATGCTGGAGACTTTACTTGACTTGACTTGGCAAAGACGAAGACGCAAGTGCGCGCTCACACGAGAGGTGGATTTCAAGACACGTTGAGAACTTTGTTTCTGTTTGTTTTGTGTGCATTGGCACATTCCAACGGATGCAGGTCCAAGAAAAGGAGTGCTGTATGTTTGTTTATGGTTTGAATGTTGAATTAAGAATCAAGGCGACGACGGTGATGCGTATCGCAGGAAGTGGGAGAGATTTTTTTTTCTAAAGAAGCAGGTTTAGGTATTTATGTTTAACCCATTTAGGGTGTTTCAAAATTAAGAAACACCAGAGCAATTCCCAGCTTAAACTTCTCGTATTTTGATGATACTGTTCACATGTGTTTGGTATGGGAGATCATGCAGAGAACCAATTAGGGGCTGTCCATAAACTACGGGGACAGTTTATTGGGGGTTGGCAAGTGTCATTGGCCTACACAAAAAATGTATGGACAGCTCCTTACGCACACAGCCACTCATAATCTGTCTACGTGGTTTTTGGGCAGCCCTTAGATTTTGTAGGAAAAATATACACGGAAAACAAAACAAAATCTAATTTGCCACTTTTGTGATATTTTGAAAATTATTTCGGCAAGATATAGGGTAGAGAACTACTTCGGCCTAATCGCCCTTTTTGGGCCTATCGAGCAGAAAACTTCAAATAAATCCATGATTTCAGAGTTAACAAGCCAATTTTGCGTTTGGTGCGATACTTTAGTTAATAAGCTACGGAACGAAGTCAATGAGAACGCGTGATAAGAAGGTTTGCACCCATTATTCCCAAAAACAAAAGAAGCGCTCCGACCGAATCAATTTTTATCTTAATCCGATAGCCCGAAGTGAATTCATTGGCGTTTCAAAGCGTTAAGCCGAGTTTAAAATCCGTAGGCCGAGTTTGACGTCAAGAAACAGTGTTAGAATTTTGACAATATCTCAACGATTGGTTTTTCTTTATCAAATATTACGTTACATACGGAAAGGTAAATACATTTGGAAGCCATCAGTAATAATGACATTCCGTTTGGTGCTAAACTGCGCTAGATTAGAGTTGTGCTTAATAGGCCGGAAATGAAGTATTTAACCCTATTTCATGATAATACGCTTTCCCATAACTTACACCGTGTTCAGACTAGGGCAGCGTTCCTCACTCTATATGTTGCGACCCACCGATTAACAGTGGGGAAAATAGCCATGAATTTTTGAGTAAAATCGATTTGTTGGGCTACCCTAACTTGGAAATGGTCACTCTAATGACAAAATAATAAAAAATATGGGTCTAATATTTTGCGATAAGGAACAAATTGAATTCCGTTATAATTGCTTATCTTTTGACAGATACGCGTATTTCGTCTACTACTTGCAGACTTCATCAGTGCCAAGTACTCAACACCACTACAAAACTAAAATTTTTACGAAATTCTGAGGACCACTATATCGTTTTGCTATGGAACGGCTGTATAGTGGTTTTTAGTCTTTGTATAATGACAGAGAGAAGGATTAGTAATTTCTATTTAATTCCACTACCTATACAGGCATTCCACTAAGACGCCCACATTCATCAGGATTTAGTCTTTGGATAGTTCATCAGGGATTAGATGGCGTAGGGTAGGGCCTTAAAAGTAGCCCATCGTATGTGAAAAAATGTGGAGATTCGAATGATGATGGTCCACTTACTGAAGGGTCCATTTTGCCTAAAATTCTCTTAATTTAGGAAGGAAATTTGAATTATCATCCAAAAAATCAACATGGTGCCGTACCATTGCATAGTGGGCTAGGAATTAAACCAAGCAGAAAAAAATTACAACGCTCTGGGATTGTATCCAGTTGATTTGACGTCTTCAGTGAAGTTTCTTGGATTAGTTAGGACTATAACTTGGTGATAAAAATAGTTCAAGTTTTGGCCTCAGAGATGGCGCTGATATACAAACATTATTATTTCGCAAGATAGAAGTTTGCTATCTTCGGCAAAGTTGTAGAACGTAAAATTTTATGAAAGACATAAAATCTGTACATCTTCAAACAATTGAAATGTACGATGTTTTATAAAATTTGTCTGAAATTCCGTTTTTAGTATAATACTTTGCTCAAAAGAATACTTTTATGTTTTTTCTCGATTGGTGCTGATCAATTGAATCTTTTCTAGAGCAATACTATTTTTTGTAGTCTACTGGGAAATATAAATCACAAGAAATTTGAAACAAATATACGATATGTCGCAATTATGGAACATGTACATAAAATAGACTTTAATTCCTCAATTTTTTTTTTATATTATTATTATGGTCACTTTAACGCTCTTGGGTCATTCGTGACTTGTCTGAGGGTGAGATTTGAACTCGTGACTTTGGCGTGAGAGGTATGGATGCTAACCACTACGCCGGGGTCGCCCCCAATTCCTCAAAATATTTAAAAAGTATATTGAGATATATTTGAGATAATTGGATTTGAATCAAACACAATATTATTTTTTCATATTACATTATTATTTTCATATGATACAGATTTTCCAGCACTCTAAAAATAATAGCATTGATCTGGAAAAGATTAGATTGATCAGTACCGATTGTGATAAGATGATAAAAGTATTCCTTTGAATGAATGTTCAAATTTATTTTTTTCCTTGATTTGTTTTCCGTCGATCTTGTTTTCCATGCTGAGCACCAATGCTACCGACGCCAGGGAGGCAACTCCCACACCTGGACCCTGTCTATCGACCCATCAACTCCTATATGAACCGGAGACCAACGGCTTTACTTCCCTAGGCGTGATCAGAGATGTTATGCCTCAGAACATCCGGGCGGCGCCTACTGGGATTGAACCCAGGCCTGCTGGGGTGAGAGATAATCACGTTTACTTTTATGCCTTAACAAACTTATGATAATATTTTACGTTCTATCATCTTTTCTATCTATCTTTCTAGATTTATCAGATAGACCACCTTAATGTTATAGAAATATTTATTTGAAGCAACTTTGCTGAAGAAAGAAAATTTCTGTCTCTAACGGTTCACATTGTATACTGTTTTTTTTTTTTTTTTTTAAATAACCTAGGGTGAACCTTGAAAAATCGTATTTTTTTCAATTAACTTTTCGAACATTGATTTCAAGCAAATGATTTGTTGCAAACACTTTTAGAACTTTTGATGGAACGCATTTTTTTCTGAAGCAACTAAGTTATTCGTATGACACGTTTCTACTAGCGACTGAGAACACCTCTGCATCCCCACATCCATCCCGAGAAGGGAATTAATGTAAGCGGAAAGGTAGCAGATCAGAAGTCACCATGGTATGCGATCTGATCGTTTGTTTGCGTTGTGACCCTAACAACTCTACATAACGAATGAGCTGGAGATCAGCAAGCAAGCAAAACTGGTCGTCACTGGGCCACCAAACCCCGTACTGTGTAAGCATATAAAACAATTGTAGTCGATTGTATCGTTCAGTCTCGGCGGCGACGTCAACACGTCGACGTCTGACAAAATTCATCACCACTTATTCATAGAGCCCCTTACATAAGAACAAACCATTATGACCGAAAAGTTTTTGAACCTAGATAATGGATACGCCATATTTGATTGCACCGGTATGCCGAGTTATGTCATTGTTTATTTTCTACGTTTGCTGATGCGGTTATTCCCCGAACATCTGATTCCGTTATTCTCCAAAAATGTATGTGTTCTGAAGAAGGAAGAAATCTCAGACAGTTGTAAGTAGCTCCACGGTAATTTGGAAGAATGTTCCAGAAAAAGACGGAAAAACATCCGAGGGAAGTCTGAAGTACATTCCTGAGAAAAGTAGGACCTCTTCTGGAGGAAATCGAAAAAAAAAACTACATCCAAAAAAATCGGAATTTGAAAAACTTTTGGAACAATTTGAAATAAATTTCGAGGAAAAGTAAAAAAAAAACACTTCCAAAAGAAGTCAGGAGTTTTTGAAAAATAAAAGAATCTTCTGAGAGAAGTCAAAACTTCCTGAAGAATCGGAATCAATTACCAGGGAAAGCCAAAAGGATCTCAGAAGAAACTTGCAGTAGAAGTCACTCCAGGAGAGTCAGGAAAAAGTTCCAGACGAAATTCAAACTTTGCGAGGAAGTTTGAAGAAACTTCATGGAGTATGAAAAGTTGGAAGAAACGTCCGGGATTAAACGGAAGAATCTTCAAGGGGGATTTGGTAGAAAATTCCAGAGAAAGTTGGAAGAAACTTCATGGAGAAGACGGAAGAATACTTAGAGCGAAGTTACACGAAACTTCCGGAGGAAGTCGGAATTTCCGGCAGAAGCCAGAAAAGCTTCTCGCAAGTTTCTGCGAGTAGCCTTTCTAGTTTCTGCTGGAAATTGAAAATTGGTGAATTCGAAAGTAACTTCTTGTGGAAGCTGGAAGAAATTTTCAGGAAAAATACGAGTAACTTCTGAGAGAAGTCAGAAGCAATATCCGAGGAAAGTTAAAAAAAAAAACTTCCGGGAGAAGTTGAAAGAATCTACCAAGGGAAGTCAGAAGAAACATCTGAGAAAGGTCAGATAAAACTTCCTGGGAATTCGTACAATTACGGCCAGCGAAATCCAGTAGAATTCCTAGAAGAAAATTCCCGGGAAAGTTGGAAGAAACTTCCAGAAGAAGTTGAAATCATTTTTCGGGTGAAGACGAAAACAAAGCTTCTGGAGGAAGTAAAAAAACAACATATAAAGTCGGGGGAGCTCAATATATACAAAAAATAGGTGGTTACAACTATGTTATGCTTCATGGATTGTTGAACAGAAGTTCAATGGATCAAATTATTTTTCGATTCCAGGTAGCCAAAAAAGGCCGGGACAAACAGTTTTGGCGGTAAGCTTAAATTTGGATTAACTTTTAATACTGGACCTGATAGGATGATCAAAGCGTTAAAGTTTTCTACC